CCTCCTAGGATCCTCTTCCGCCCCTCCCTGCGCCCAGAACCTCCCATCCACGCCTCCTCAGACATCAGATCCTGGGGCTCCCCTGCCGACTTTTCTCTTCCCTCTGCGGCCTCTACTTTGGTACTCAATCCCCTGTTAGGCTTTTAACCACGTACCGCTCAGCACGACCCAGCAGAGCAGCACCTCTAGCCTGGACCTCTCTGTGGAGCTCGCAGATCATCTCGGGAGGCCCCAGTACCCGCGCATCACTGCCGCGGACACAGCACTCTGCTCTTCCAGGGGACCCAGGACGTCAGTGAACATCCAACTCCTTTTCGCAGCCCGCAAGGCCTGGCGGGCCCAGCTCAAGACACCCTGCCTCACTGCCTGTAACTGCCCGGTTCTCTCAGCAGCCCTCCCAGCGTCCAACCACTGAGGTCTCAGAGGCCCTCCCAGACCTCCGGGCTTTCCACTGCAGACCCCATCACCCTCTGATACCTCCCAGGGAGGGGACTCATTGTTCTAACTTCGGTTCCAGCACCTAGGACAGGCCGAGCGGAAGGAAGGAGGAGAGAGTAAGAGGGAGGGAAGAAGGAGAAAGGGAAGGGAAAGAGAAGCAGGCATCCCTCCACCTGAGGCTCCCGAGGTCGATCCAGGGATGTTTCTCAAGGCCCGCCCCCCAGCAGCCTCCGGTCTTGCGGTTTTGGCTCTGCTGATCTCCAAAGATATGTGGAGCCTCCCATCAGCCTATGTCCCTCTCCTGCTCAAAGCCTTTCCCTGGATCTACAATCCGAGAATACAAGAATCCTACTATCTGCTAACACCAATGAGACTTTCCTCCATCCTGTTCCTGAGAACCCCTCCGCTCACCTCCCACAGCTTCCTGCACCTGGGCCTGGAACCACGTCCACTTTTCACGTTCAGGCGCACCTCCAACCCCCCCCCCCCCCCGGTTGGGGATTCTCCCAGGCAGGGTCGGGTCATGTTCCAGGGCCCCTCCTTCTGCCGGTCTGAACACCTAGGTGTTGGGAGTTCCCGCTCTCGCCCCGCATCAGCCTCACCCACAAGTGGCCAGGCTAAATTTTAAGGATAAAGTCAATAGGTTGGACCCAGAGCCACGTGAGACCTGAAGGTTCCAACTGTGCTGTCTCCAGCTCTGAGACCCTGCCTCGCCCTGCGGCCACCCAGATACCTTCGACTTGGCGCCTCCTCCCAGGGCTCTCCCTGGCCCTTCCACACACCCCAACACACGCAGCGGCCCCCATGTTTCTGCAGGACCCACGTCGCCAGCGTGGGCTCCAGGAGGACCCCAGACCTCCCTAGCGAGGATCCGTACGTTCTCGGCTCCCCAGTCCCCTTCGCAGGGCTGCGACCCTCCACATGATTCCAGGCCCCTGGAGGGTCCCCGGAGATCTTCCAGAATTCCCGAACGCTGAGGGGCCTCCAGTCCCATAGGCAGAACCCTCAACCCCCACATAGGTCTGGCAGCGAGACTCTGAACCCAGAGAGGGACACAAGGCCCTCAGCGCAACCCAGAGTCCCTCAGAGCTCCCAGTCCCCACAAAGAGATCCCCGTCCTCTCGGTGTCTCCCTGGACCCCGTCAGAGGGTCTCCCACCCCTCAGGGCGCCCCATGCAGCGGGCAGCCGGCTCACCATGTCGCCCGCGGGAGCGCGGTCCGCTGACCTGCGGCTCTGAGCACCTCGAGGGAATCCAGCCAATCAGGATCCGACTCCGTTCTGACAAACAGCCCGAAAGACCAATCGTCAGGCTTGGAGCTGGAGCAAACCAAGAGGGAAAGGGGGTCGCTCGCGTTGCATGCCGGAAGTTGTAGTTTGAGGACGCTCGGTAAGCTCAGACTCGGTCGAGTCAGGACTGTCTCTGGGACCTTGTGTGGTGGCTGTCCTCTCTGAGATTCAGTCTTCTAGCGTCTGGACCTATCTCTCAGGTCGGAGGCAAATACATTAATTTATCCACGCACTGCCTCCTGCTGGAGAGTTCTGAGTGTGGAACTCCCCTGATCTAGAAAAATCGATGGCTCCCAATTGACTAGATTCTCAAGTGTCCAGACTGAATTCGTACACTTCTACCTGACTTCAATCGGCTGCCAACACTATTGTACACACTATGGTACAGCTTGCCACTGGCCATGCTGCTATTTCATACCTCCAGGTCCCTGTAAATTTTATCACTCATCTCGGAATATCTCCTTTCTCAATCTTTTTCATTTGGCAAAGCCTTATTCATTTCTATTAGCCAGGACTCTGATTGTGACACACACACACACACACACACACACACACACACACACTCCAACTCGAATGAGCTCCAGCAAATAATAATAATAATAATAATAATAATAATAATTAAAAAGGAAAATTTTTTATAACAACAAAAACTCTAAAAGCATAGTCAGATTCAGGCATGGCTGGATCAAGGATCAAAAAAAAATGTCAGTTTCAAGAATCTGGTATTTTAGGGGCGCCTGGATGGTTCAGTGGGTTGAGTGTTGGACTCTTGATTTCTGCTCAGGTCATGATCCTAGGGTCATGAGATCAAGCCCATCATCAGGTCCAGTGTCGATTATGGAGCCTGCCTGAGAGTCTCTCTCTCTCTCTCTCTCTCTCTCTCTCTCTCTCTCTCTCTCCCCCACTCCT